TCTTCCCTCGTTCACCCTTGTTCTTTGCCAAAACTTGGCTGACGTCATGTTTTCTTTTGTGCAATCTTACATTATTATGTTCCCGTCCTCTTAATATCTCCTCTAAGACGGACGGGGAGCTTGGACAGGTCCAGATTCTGCTGTTGGGCGTCATATCTAGACATCGGAGCAGGTATTGCTTTGACGGTTGCGTAAGTGTCCTTGTATTTAAGGCAACTGCCATGTCGTAATGCCGGTAGTGCTCAGGGGCATTGAGTCGAGCAGAGCATAACTACTCCACGTGACAAGAGTACAAATGTAAACAAGTTTTAATTCCAGGCACATGGTACATTGGATGCTTTACCAATCTCGCAAACCGGTAATAAGGCAGTTCTAAGCTGACAACTATCCAGTCGTGAACCCTTGACGGTGCAATTTGTAGGTTCGTCAATACCAAGCGTTAGACAAACTACCTCCCGTGCACGTACCGTAGCCCAGACCTCAACCAGTGTGGGGACTCCTAGGTCCAAGGATATCGTATTCCGGCCGCCGCCCAACCTAGCAGTATTATAGCGCACTGAAGATCTGGAAAAGCTGATCATCTTTTTGAAACCCAGGTACCATATGCTCACGGCAGTGTTGGAGGATCTTCCAGTTGATTTTATACCAATGCTTGCTATCTCGCCAAGACCCCAAGGGTTGATGTATCCGACATTCGACTGAGTTGCACAGTACTCGTTATTTCTCTGCCGCTCAATTCGGACCGACCCTTGCAGGCTGCGCGTTGGTCGCTGGTGACGGTGACGAGTCTAGCGGCGTTTTAATGTGAGAAATTAGTCACTATGTTAAACGGGTAGCTTAGCTGGCTCCTGCTGTGAAGAAAAAGGGTCTAGTCTGTCTAGATGACCATGGTATCCATGTAGAACCCATCGAAGATGCCAACTTCCATGATGGAAATTGACCTGGTTGCCGAATGGTTGAAGGTTGATTGGGGTAGATGAGCACGTGATTTCGTGTAATCCACATGAAACGAAGCAGTTTAAATCACTTAGATAGCTTTAATCTTCAAATTCACTTCATTGATTAATAACGAGATTGTAACCAAGCCCGTATCGCACGTCTGTACTTTATCAACTACATCGCTAGGAAGAAAAGGTCACCTTTTCACCCCGATAAACAAAAAGGAACAATTGTCTCTTCCCATCTGTCCAACCCGCGGTCAAAACGCCCCCAGCCACCTCATTAAGAACAAGGCGCACCAGGAAGAGATAGCGATAGAGGTTCTCAATGCTTCTGTATCGATCAAAAGATACCTCCACGTTTTTCTTTCAACTCAGCCACCCGAAAAATGCGAGAAATGGCGTTGCCTCTCGGTCCAATCACGCACTTTCTCCTTTCGTAACCGCAAGACGACTCGCACGCTTTTTTCCCCTAGGAATGGAAAGTTCCTTCTTTAGCACTTCAATGTGGAGGGCTCACAAAATCTCACATATCAGCACAGGATTAGTTCAGCAAGGAGACACCATCCCCAATCTGAAATAGATTCACGCGTTGTCAGCCTCTCGCAGCAAAGCGAGAAGTATTCTAACTTCAAACTTTCTCGGGTAAGACTATTTACTAACACACCTATACCGATCAAAGAGAGCGTACGCGTCTTGTGCCCTGTGTCAAACACAATCTAGGCAAAGAAGGGATAAGCGGGTGGTTGGGCAACTTTGTCTACTAACTTGGTGCGCGAGCGCTGTGGCTGTAGAATTGTATGTGCTGCAGGGCAAAAAAGTTCATGCCGCGAGGAACAACGAAAAAGCAAATGTGTATTGAGTGGGGAAAGAAGTAAGCATCTAGCGAATAGTCTTCATGGTGACCGTGCAGGAGGAGTCTGAACGGCGACGTTGTATCGTAGAAGAATTCGCGGAAATAATGATTTGTCTCTTTTTTCTTTCGTTCTGGGGTGAATTAGATACATTGTTTTACGTAGCTATGACTGCATACTTACTAACATAAGACTCATTTCCGCTCATACATGCATCTCCCACGGACGTAGTACATTTCCTCTCTAGAAAGCACGATGAACATATCATCCTCCCCTCAGAAACAACCATATTTACTACCTACACCACCATGCGCTGTCACTCTCCACACCGCGCCTCCCCAGCCACTCCCGCGCAAAGATCTCTCTTTGCCAAACCCGCCCGAACATCCAAACCCTCAGCACCTCACGTGTTCAATAGCGGTCAGTCCTCGCAGCCAATGAACTGTTGAGACGACAATCCCAATCGAGTCCCCCGAAAAAGCAAAACATGGACAACAGTCGAACAGCAACGACAAGACAGGGCAAATGCTCACGTGGCACACCGTGCATGCGTTGTTGTTGCGACTGAAGAAAACAACAAATCTTCTTTTAAATACCCCAAACCCATACCGCGGAAGAGAAAAGCGACAAACAGCGTCACCATCAACACTACCACCATCATACCCTCGACTTGGACCCCTCGCATCACCGGTTCCAAGACTATTTTTGTATCGACTTGCATAGTAGTTTCCTCAAGAAAAACGTTGGAACACACACACACACACACACACACACACACACACACACACACGCAATAGAATTGAGAAGTGAGACAACCAAATCAAGAGCAAGCGTGAAAAAGACAAGACAAGAAAGAAACTGATCTTTTATTTCCTCGACATCCCACGTGGCTGGGACAGGCGTTGGTTTCCAGAAACAAGAAGAACACACACACCAAAACAATCGGGGTGAAAACTTGGTTGTTTGATCGGTTCGACAGTTCAGGACGACAATCTCTATTCCACCGTCTTAAAGGCGAAAACAAAAATAGCGTGAGGTGCAAACGACAACCAGGGAGGATGAGACCCTTTTCCAAGGCATCTCAGATCCAAGCACGAAATGAGACAGCAGCGGCAACACCAACAACGGTGCAAAGTCTACGCTTGAAACCCACAATCATTGCATCGGCGTCGAGTCAGGAGTCAGGATGGCGGGGATCATATTCCAACACAACCTCCACACTGCCCTATTCAACGGGTTTCGCAACACGGGTATCTTCAAGTGCACCGTCATCTGCCACACCGCCATCATACTACACCAACCACTCGAGCTCATCACTCGCCGCACCCTCCTCAACCCACATGCTACCAGATCTCTACACAAAAGCGACACTAGCGCCAAGTCTCCCAACCCCGACATCCGACCTCACACTCTCCACCGCATCCGCCGCACCCTCACGTGAAACCGACCAGGAAATGTCCTTGGAAACCAAAGTCGGACTAGCCATGATCCCCATCGCCGTCGGCCTCTGCGCCTGGGGTCTTGTCCTCCTCATCCTCTGGCGCCGCCGCAAAGCTCACCAGTCACATCACCGGATAACCTCCTTCAGCGCCTTGGGCCCCGAAAAGTCGCACTCGCCCTTACTCGCCTCACTAAACAGCAGCACAAGAAGCCGCCGCATCTTCACAATGGCCGCATTCTACAGTCGCGACAAACAAGACATGAGCGTAACGCGACCGACAACCCCACCTCCTTGCAACTCACCAGTGGAGCGCGCAAAAACAGATTCGAATCCCGACTCGCCTATCGATGGGGGCAGCCCGTTTCGACTGCGACCAGGCGAGGCGAGGAAGAGTCTGGGATCGGAGATATCCGAGTTGTGGCCTTCGCCGCCGCCGACGGCGTGGGCTCGGCGCCAGGATATACTCGAGCAACTGCCTACATCGCGGTTCGGGCGCGATATGACGGTGCCGCGATTGAAGCGGAGTGAGAATAGGGGGTCGCTGCGGGATGCACACGATATTACGAGGCCCTCGATGGGGGATAATTGGCCTTTGATGTGAAATGAAATCAAGTTTTTTTTACACGAGTGAACTTAGCGACTATGTTTCTTTGCTTTACGATTAGACAAGTCTGGCGTTCTTTTGGGAACAGCTTATTTGGTATACCCCCCGGTAGATTGGAGGTGTTATTCGCCTCTGGCAAGAGACAGCTTCACTTTATGCATAGTTTTTCTGTAGACATGTTAACAATTATATTTTAATCATTTGGTCTGATTGACACACCCTATGCATCAGTTCCCTTGTGCCCCTTTATGTAACCACGGTAATACTGTTCTCGTGACAGTCGCGCGGTCCGACATGGTGGCGTCTACTAAGAATGTGTTGCCCAGTAGGGCGGATATCGATCCGCAGTCTTCAGGCCTTTCAGCAAGTCCTGGCTGGTCTAACCAACTCTTGATACTCTCTCATGACTACAATGGTATCTTGAAATCTTGACGGCGCTCAATCACTCGAAGCGCATCCTCGACAGCCGCAGTTGACACATTCAATCTCCTGATTCTCTTTAAGCTGATCTCTCGGGACGCGGCATATGCAGGTAGACCGGAAGTTTGTTTCTTTTGTCTGGATGCAGCGCGTGCAGCATAGCTAAGTTGCGTTAGTCTGCATTCCTTGTACCAATAGTGCAAGCAATTCACCTTCTCGTAACCCTGTTTTTTCCACTTGGCAATAAGCATGGGATCTGCGTATCCATTCTTGAGCAGGTAGTCGTAGAGCTGCTTGCTGATGGCCTCCTTGGTGTAGTAAAGGTCGTAGATGTAGCGGGAGCGCTGGTGGGTGATTTGGAAGATGGGCCAAGTCATCTCGTACTTTTTCTTTCCCTCGTGCGAAGCGTTCTCGGCGTCTTTCATCTTAGTTTGGAACTCTAGAAGCGTATCCTCAATATCGTCGAAGCCTTCGGGCGGAGCCTTGCGAGAGGCGCGTGCCGTGCGGACGGGAGGCATGATCGAGTAGTACGTGGGTTGATTTGAACTTGTTTTCGGTGTATTTGATTTCGATTTCGATTTCGACCTCGTGCTTAGTATTTATGTATTATGTAGTTGTGGTGGTGATTGCAAGAAGCAGTTGGTCGTCAAGTTTGCGAATGCGCCATCAGTCAAATCAGCGCTAACGCCACGGCTTGGCATTCTACTCCACCCGAGCCGCATCGTCACTGCAACTCCCGCCCTGGGACAACTGGAGCTCCGCAACACCGTCAATATGGTCATCAACCCTACCTACCTCGCCCAGCGCACGCGCTCATGTAAGTCGAATATCCGTATCAACCATTGGGGGAGTCCAAGGCTAATTCGGGCATAGCGGTCAACTGGGCCGATGCGAAGAAGAGGGTCATTCACAGCTACCGGGACTGGCTGCGGTCGGTACGCATACTCCCCATACTCTAGAGAGGATATATTTAACCCAATGATTGGTTCACTGCCAATTGTGGTGCAAACACGAGACCCGAAGCGGAGGGACGCGTTGGATCGAGAGAAGCGGGCAGCAGTAACAATTCACAAGCGCGGGAGGCTGACAGAACCATACAGGCTCCCGAGATCCAGACCATGTATTCACTCAACATGCCGGTGTCCCAACTTCGGACCAAAATGCGGCAGGAATTCGAGCGGCATAGATATGTGAATCAGCTGAAAACAGTCGACGTGCTATTATTCAATAGTCACCAAGAATTCCAGGTACGGCACAACTGGAGGGCAAGATTTAAAGAGACCATCTTTGGACTAATACATACTTCAGGAAACGCTCAACTTCTGGAAGCAACTGTCACACGTACTCAAGTACTTCCGTACCGAAGAGGATCCCAAGGCACGGCTGCCAAACAACTTCATCAACGGCTTTTTGGAGGTAAGCATTCGATTGAACCCCTAACAATCAAACTTCAGAATACTAATCTATGCTCCCAGGGTCGCAATTGAGTGGGCTGTCTTCGCCTGAAATCGGAATTGAAAACAAGTCCAGGATGCGATGTAAATAGCCAAAGACAATACCATTTTCCTTTCCGTTCGCCATTGACCCATGATATCCGTGAACGCCATCAATGCAATAGTGCCTCACAAACCCTGTGTTTACTCCTCCATCTTGTTGACAAATTCGTCACGTGCAATGGTGAACTTCTTCTCAACAACATCGCACATGGCCATGAGATCTTCAAGACCCTTTTCCAGCACAGTGTAAACACTAACGCCGTCTGATATCATGTCAGGTGTGCTCTTGATGTACTTGGAAACTGAAGCTTACCATAAGTCTGGATGCGCAGGTTCATCTTTGCTTCTGATGGATGCGGTATGGAATAACCACAAAACTCGACGTCTGGGCTAAAAAAAAAACAATCAGCAGCTGTTCATGGAACCATGTTCAGTTTCTGTTACTTTTTGTGAATGATATAACGTAGCGCGTTACCTAGCGTGTGGTCCTCGCCATCAAACTGGAAAGATGCTGCTGTTTCTGTGGAGCCAGAGAGCTACACGTGATGTTAGATACAGATTTACAGATTCCATAATTTCGTTTTGACGTACGACTCGGATTCGGTCGCGGTCGACAGCTGGGTCAATCTCCTCGCCCGTCTCGGAAGTTGGGTCCACGATCTGGACTGGCGCGGAGTCTTTCGTGGCTCCTGGCATGATTGTTTGCGGTTGGTGCTGATGAATTGAGTAACAGGCAGACGTGACCAGACAGTTACGCGGAAGTACTCTAGAGTGTTGGCGTGAGAAAGAGGCGCGACTTTGCGATATGCTTAGAATTTTGGGGCGAGAGCGGACTTTGGTTCGGCGAAGCGGTGGTTGGCTAGAACTTTTTTTCAGCCCTATATTGCTTGGCGGACATGACGTGGGGCGTGGGGAAGCCAGCACCCCTCTCCAGTCAGTTAGTCTAAACTTTTTTTGCGCAACGTTCTCTTTATTCTCTTATCTGGAAATCGACTGAGTCAAACTCCTATATACCCGAGGCCATCAATCCACCACCACAATGCCGCGCACTTGCACCCTCAACCGCGATACAAACGAGACCAAGATCCAAGTATCCATCAACTTGGACGGCGGCGAACTTGTACCCTACGAGCACAGCGACTTCTGGGCCGCCCTCGACAAGGCCAACCTCAATGGCGAAGGCGAGAAGATCGAAAAGGACCATGCCACGCAAAAGTCTGCCTCGCAGGAGATTTCTGTAGACACGGGCATCGGCTTCCTCGACCACATGATTCACGCCATGGCCAAGCACGCCGGTTGGAGTCTGCGCATACGGTGCAAAGGCGACTTGCACATTGATGACCATCACACGAGTGAAGACACTTTCTTAGCACTCGGCTCGGCATTCAAGAATGCGCTGCAGGGTAGCACAGGACTTGCACGCTTTGGACACGCATACGCGCCGCTGGACGAGGCCTTGTCGCGAGCCGTCATTGACCTGTCGAACCGGCCATACAGCGTCATTGAGCTGGGGCTCAAGAGAGAGAAGATTGGCGACCTGAGCTGCGAGATGATTCCTCATTGTCTGCAGAGCTTTGCTCAGGCGTCGGGTACCACGCTACATGTGGATTGCATCAGAGGTGATAATGATCACCACCGGGCTGAGAGTGCATTCAAGGCACTTGCGGTGGCGATTAGACATGCGACAACAGTGGTGAAGCAGTGGGAGGGCGAGGTTAGGAGTACAAAGGGCGTGTTGTATTAGACTCGGTCCGGTAAGATGGACCAATACAATCCACACAAACGTAAATAGTCACAAAACTTGAATAGATTTTATACTTCGAAGGTATCACTTCTGCGATGACTGTCTGATATAGAACAGAAACTGCCAGAGACCGCTTGGCTAGCTTCTATGACTTATCTGCTCTCTCATCGCCATAATGATCGGCGTAATGAACATGCTTACTGAACAGCCGGTCGTCCTGAATTGACGGTGCTTCTAGTTTGAAACCAAAGTTTTCCTCCTGCATCCTTGTAAGAAAGTTATGAACATAACTTCCATGTGGTTGAGGCGGAAGAACAACAGTCACTGCTTCGCTAGAACGCATACTCTCAGCATCGCAACGGAAATTCATGAGTGCTCTCATCTTGTACTGAATAACATAGTCCATCATACGTCTTTCCCAGATCCAGGCGTCGTTAAAAGCGCTGCCGCAAACCACCAGTCGAATCCGGGCTTCTTTGGCATTGTTATGTGCCATCCTGGCCAAGGTGCACGCGACGAAAGTGTCCAGATTTTCTTCCGAGTAGCCTAGCTCTTTAGGGAGGCGCTGGTAAACTTGTTCCCAGTTGACTCCAAGCCTAGACTCGAGAGCGTGGTTGGTCCAAGCTTTGATTTCATGGCATATATGCTTGAGAGTACGTTCAGCCAGCGTGTTACTGCCATTGTACACTGACGAAGTGTTGCCATTGTGTCTTGACAAGAGACCGAACAGCTCGTCCATGAAACCATTTCGTGGCTGGTACAGTAAATCGGCTGGCCCCAAAACAACGACAGGCAGATGTCGCTCATTGAGATCATACAGTTGTTTTTGGACCGATGCATCTTTGGTTTCTTGATAAATGAGCTTGCTGATCAAGAGCAGCGACGTCGGCAGCCTATAGTACGGCCAGCTGCACACGCCGACGGGAGAAGACTTGACAACAGGCCATATGTACCTGTACACGAGCTCGGGCAGGAAAGAGTAGATGTGGCAGCGCAGCTCAGGCGGCAGAGCCATGAGGCGGGATGCGAGTGCTGGCTGCATTGCATTGGGGGAGTGAATGTCGGTGCGAATTACGCTTACCCGACCCTCTCCCTCTCCTGAGACCCTTGCCGAAGCGAGCATGGCCCAAGCTCAATCCCGCGGCGTCGCGAGTGGAGCTCGCAGCATCAACACGCCCGACGCCGCCAATTCGCTGTCGACGCCTGTCTTGCTGTCTTCTCACCTCGCCGCCATGCTCTCCGGCATCCTCATCTTCAATCAGAAGGGCGAGAACCTCATCTTTCGCGCCTTCCGCAACGACTGCCGCCCACGCCTGGCCGATGTCTTCCGCATCCAGGTCATTTCCAATGCACAAGTCCGCTCCCCCATCCTGACCCTGGGCTCCACCACCTTCAGCCATGTCAAGCACGAGAACATCTATCTGGTAGCTGTCACCAAGAGCAACGCCAATGCCGCCCTCGTCTTTGAGTTTCTTTATCGCCTTGTCGGGCTGGGCAAGGCCTATTTTGGCAAGTTTGATGAGGAGGCTGTCAAGAACAACTTTGTCCTTGTCTATGAGCTGCTCGACGAGATTCTCGACTTTGGATACCCCCAGAACACCGAGACGGACACGCTGAAGATGTACATTACCACAGAGGGGGTCAAGTCGGAGAGGACAATGGTGAGCTTCTCTATATGTATGTATGTCGGGAATGGCTACTGACTATGGCATAGGAGGATTCTTCCAAAATCACTATGCAGGCTACTGGTGCGCTTTCATGGCGCCGAGCGGACATCAAATATCGCAAGAACGAGGCCTTTGTCGACGTTATCGAGGATGTCAACCTGCTCATGTCTGCAACCGGAACAGTGCTCCGGGCAGATGTGAATGGTCAGATTATCATGCGTGCATACCTTTCCGGCACCCCAGAATGCAAGTTTGGACTCAACGACCGACTGACGCTGGGCGAGGACCATCTGCAACAACCCTCGGGCAATAAGGCGGGCGCAAAAGCAACAAGAGCAGCAGCTGGCAGTGTCACGTTGGAGGACTGTCAATTCCACCAGTGCGTCAAGCTCGGCAAGTTCGACGCTGATAGGATAATATCGTTTGTTCCACCAGATGGCGAGTTCGAGCTCATGCGCTACCGGGCGACTGAGAACGTCAACCTACCCTTTAAGGTCCACGCCATTGTAAACGAGGTTGGCAAGACAAAAGTTGAATACAGCATCGCTATCCGGGCCAACTACGGCTCCAAACTCTTTGCTACCAACGTTGTTGTGCGCATACCTACGCCTCTAAACACCGCCAAAATCACCGAGCGCACCTCGCAAGGCAAAGCCAAATACGAGCCAGAGCACAACAATATTGTCTGGAAAATTCCACGCTTTACCGGCCAAAGCGAGTTCGTCCTAAGCGCCGAAGCTAGCCTGACCAGCATGACCAACCAAAAGGCATGGTCCCGACCACCACTCAATCTTAGCTTTTCACTCCTCATGTTCACTAGCTCTGGACTCTTGGTACGCTACCTCAAGGTGTTTGAAAAGAGCAATTACAGCAGCGTAAAATGGGTACGGTATATGACGAGAGCAGGCAACTATGAGATAAGGTATGCTTTTCCCCAAAGTCGTTTATGTAGCCCCTACCTACTATCTGCATTGGTCTAACATAATCATTTGTAGATTCTGAGAAAAGGCATTTTTTGCTTTGTCCATATTATTATTACTATTACCATTATTACTTGTGCTATACAGTTCGGTGTTTACATTGCATTGCAGGCGTCATTGGGGGAAAGGGACTCGGTTATCTACGATATCCTCGAATATAATCAGAAGCGATTACATGAAACCCTTTTTTTCGTTTCTGTTGTGCATGGATACACTGACAGACTGATGTACAAGTTTCGTCCTTGACCGTGGTGCTAGGTCGGTTGCTGGCTGTGATGCCTCGCAGGTACCGCTCTGCGAAAAATTCGTCTATCTCGATTGCCGAACGCTTGTCTTGCTTGGAACCGAGACGCCCAGGATGATATTATGTTAGAATTGTGCCGTTGCACAGGGTTGCCAGCAACCCTTGTGCTGACAATACGATCCTGTTCATGAAGTATAAGATAGGAGTCTTCGTGTACAGTAGATAGGACATGCAATTCTTCAAGTTTCGAACATATCTGTGCATTCTCTACTCCTCTCCCGGTCCTCTTGTTGCACTAGTTCAAGCACCTACAGAAAAAGCATCGCCCCCTGTCCATAGTAGAACTTATGGGTGCTGCACTTCCTACACCCGTTCAGCATGCGATAGCGATGCCTAAACTAAGAACATATTCCCAAATCAAGTGAATATCTCAAGAACTCTACATGTTTACAGTTTTTCTAACCTCGAGCTTTCGGCCCACCATGTTCCAATGCTGTGTTTCTACGCTTCCTAGAAGCCCAATTCACTACCATTATCTAGCGAGCCACGCCAGTACCCGCCAGTGCCCGCTAGTCGCGTTTACACATGGCCCGCTAGTACACAAACAGTATATTTAGTATACAAAAAGGTCGCGGCCACGAGACTGGATAACAAGAACACAACCAAGAGCCACGTGCTTGAATGTGAAATCGACCAAACACATACAAGACATAAGTATCAAGTAGATCCATCGTGTAAGGCACTAGCTAACGGCGCAGCAGCAGCCACTCAGCCGGCGGACCGGCAGTAGCAAGCGATACGTGCTTTAGAAGGCACTCCCCGTGAATAGGTGTGACCAGGCAGTGCTGCAACACTGTAAGCCATAGGCCTCACCCTTCCGCATGCCCTATAGGTGGCTTTAGATAGGACGTTAAATTTAAACACACACACATACACTAGCTAACAGCACAACAAGAGCAGTGCCAATCAACCGAAATGGCGGAACCCGCCGATACAACAGAATGTCTATCAACGAAGGCTCTGCAGCAGATACACAGTCTCATGGGAGAAGACGCTTCATTCCTTGAGCACTTACCTGTAGATAAGATCCATGAAGCAGAGTTTGAAGATAAAAGGCACAAGCGCCTCACTTCGCTACCCCGACGCATGCTCTTCGGTCAGATCACAGAAGGCGAGAGAAAGGGTTTAGAAGTCTGGATCCTTCCCATCAAGACACGCGACGAGAACCAGTGGCCTGGACACCGCTTCAACCTGTTCGATCGGCTTGGGAATCTGCACTCCAGCATTACTATAGAGGAGGCCATACGGTTGACCAATGCGGCAAATGCATTTAAGTGGCTGAAGAAGCACGGCACAATGGATTCGAATCTCCTTCGTGCCGTGATCAGGTACTACTTCATCGTCAAAAAAGTTAACCCCCCGTCACCGTGGCCGGTTGACATGCGCTTCACAGCAGAGTTACTCGCAGCATGCAAGGTGGCAGCCAAATCTACTGCAGCGATACCAGCGAATGAAAAGAAAGCAAACAAGACAAAGACGCCCGCGAGTATGCCACCCAGACCAAAAGCCAATATGACACTGCCCTCTGAAGACGAGACCAGTCTCTTCATTCCCGAACGCCGGCGTCGTGCCGCTACATCTGACGCCTTTCAGACTCCAACTCCGCCTACAGGTCTCGCATCCGGTCAACCAACAACCGAGCCGATTGATGAGTTCAAGAGAGCCTTTCAGAGGAAAATGCTTTCTAAGGCTGCACCCGCGGTCCCAGCAGCTTTGGCTCCATCAACCCCAGCCCCCATTCCCTCCACCGCCACCGCCAGCACCATCTCGATCAACCCCAACATTCCTCCTCCCCCTCCTTCCTCTCAACCACCCAGCACCCCTCCCACCACCGGATCCCTCTCATCCTTCATCCCCGCCTACCGCGAAACCCTAACCAGACACTCGGAACTCACCGCTCACCTCCGCACCACGCGCTCCTCCATCTATACCGCCAAATCCCAACTCCGCGATCTCGAAGCCAAAATCCAGGAGCTAGAAGCTAAGGAAAAAAAGTTGAAGGAAGAGATTAAGGGAGTGGATGTGGAGAAGAAGAGGTTGCATGATAGTTTGACGCCTGAGAAGAGAGAAATGTTCTTGTTTGGGAGGGAGATTTGGGAGAGAGAAGGGAAGCGGGCTAGGCTTGAAGAGGAGCAGAGTGAGGAGGGCGGTGAGTATATGGATTTGGGGGAGTGAAAGATTAGATGAATGTTTTACAACACACATGTGTGACATTCAGTCTATAGATCACTTACACTAGGCTTTCTACATAAGCCTCTTGTGTGAGTATGAAGATGTTTTTGCGGCGTTTCTCGCCATGTATTCTCTAATGTGAAGCGTTTCTACTGCACCTTTCCGTTCATATACTACCCTAGTGCATTTCTGTTTTAGCTCATACCATCTCCTGATACACATCATCAAAAGCAGTACCACATCGTGTATTAGAACCGGGACTTTGCAGCATTACCAAATTACTTGATACAGAAGAATACCAACCAATGAAACTTTAGCCCAGCTGACGTCCTTGCATGATCTCTCCAATATGCTCATTTCGGCTCAATAGCATTGTGAGACTCAAAGTAGCACTACCGTGATCAAGTGCTTTCTGCCAACTCATGTGATGGTCCAAGGCTCATGAATATCCCACCCATAGCTCCCAGATACACCAAAGCATAACATACCGAAAAAGCCTTACCACAAAACCCAAGCCATCTGATCTGCTGTCGAAAACTTAGTGGCTAGTCTTCTGACGCTTCAACTTGGAACCTTCCTCAATGTCAAGTTCTTCGTACAAGAACTTACGAGACAACTCCCAGACAGACATCATCTCTGTAGTCATTTCGCTCAGCTAGCGGTTCTCAACCTTAAGCTTCGCTTGTATAGTCTGAGAGTCTGCCTCAATCTCAGCTTTCCTACTAGCTACATGTTGATCCTCGATGCTCATTCTTTCCTCAAGTGCTCTTCTTTTACGATCGGCTTCCTCTTGCTGGCGCTTTGTTTCAGCCTCAAACTGCTCCTGTTCGCGACGAAGCTCCTCGAGAGCAGTGATGTGACCGGCTATCTGAGCTGACATCTCATCAATCTTTTTCGTAAGGCCTTTCCGACGATCATATGAGGCTGATAGCGACTCGAGGATAGTGTTGATACCTTTGCTAGGCTCTGGAGTCTATGAAACGTCAGTGTATGAGTTGATAAACCTTTTTGTCCGACATGTCAGCGTACTGTGGTTTGAGAGGCAGATAATTCCTCGAGTTCCTCCTCGAGTTCTTCTGGATAATTTTCAGGAAGGAAGAGAGAGTCTGAATTTGGGCCATCAAGTGCTGCGAGCTTACTGGTAGCTGCGCCTTTATTGGTTTCGATTTTGATTATATTCTGTTCAGTGGTAGTGGGCGGCGAGATCTTATGCTTCTTGCTCGAATCGACGACTGAAGGTCTATCAACATCCACATGGGAGCTGCGGTCATTTCGGCTGTACATATGCACTGTAGGTATGACCTTTACAATGTCAATAACAAGCAGACGTTACAGAATCGATCTTGTAATTACCGGAGAAGTAGTTGATGAAGTGCCTAACATGACTGGCAATGATGACTGTGCACTAGACGCATCTATTGTACTCATACTCTTATCAAATTGCTTGGAAGGTGTCTCTCCCAAACTCTTGCGGTTTTTCTTGGAGTTCTTGAACATTTCGCATCCGAGCACCAATTTTGAACGGAAAACCGAACCAACTACTGGTATTGGGGTCGATAGAGTAATACCTTTGCGAATGAAAAGAGCTTTCAGAACAGCCTTAACTGCACCAAACTCGACTTTGCCGCTCTCGACGAAGGGTCTCCAAAACTTGTTGGCTTCGAACACACCATCTGTGCAATTGATGTCCTTGGTGTTCATGACGGTGTATTTAGTGTTTGCTGAACACTTACCGAACACCATGGACGGCTCAGTATTTTTGAACGAGGGAGAGCGAAGATAGACATAGACTTGGGCTGCATTGGTGTCATCTTCCCGATATGTGCCAAATGCAACCTTGGCAGTGCTGGAGCGACGACTTGATGAGTTCATCGAAGATCCTCCATGAAATTCGTCAAAGAGTTCGTCAACTTCAGCTTCAGAAGGCAGATATTGCAACACGTCCGCTTGTGAATCAAGCGATTGTATGAGTTCTTCATACGTGGTGGCACGCGTTTCAATAGATGGCGAGTTGTTGGGTGACGTGTATGAGGTGAGTGGGGTTTCTGGACTTGTTAGCGCACCTCTCATAGCTAGCTTCACGTTAACAGGATACGTACCGCGAGAAGGGGTAGAAGTGAAGTTTTCGAACATACTTTCCTGTATCGTTCGATAAGAAGAATCCAAAAGAGATAGAACTAGAGGGTTGCAAATCAATGCCGGTATATCAGCGTAAACAAAGTACTAGCGAGGAGCAAACACAAGCTAAGGACCAGTCTACGCTGTAGGCAACAAGTGGGGGTGTTTTCTCAAGAAACTATCTAAATATGAGGTAAGAGAGCTAGGTGAAGGAGTAAGATTTTAGGCTACGGAAACAGGGGGGGGGGGGGTCAACGTAAGTCTAACGTTAAGCAAACACTTGCGGACACTAAGCAGTACTGCGTGCTAGCTACGACGAGGAAGGGTTTGATTAGTGAACCTTGGGTGAAATGATTGACTAACAAAAACAATGTGCATCATTTCCTATCGGGGAATGTAGGACAAGATGCTGTTACTTCTGTTAAAAGCAACCACATGTTTGCCATTCATGCATATTCACTGTCTATCAAGCTATGAGAAACAAGCAGCAAACTATGTAGTTGATGAATGAGGTTTGCTACTTTATTTATATTTCCATCTCACTCATGAAAGAGGCTCTTATCAATGTGCGTCCTGTATGTTGAGGAAATGAGTGCACTGCGATAGAGAAAGGCTATAATGATGCCTGATTATTAAACAATATAAATTTTCATTATTGAAAGCACCCCACACTAAGAGACAATTCAGTTCATGTGGGTAGAATGTCAGGTTGTTCCTGATTGGTCGTTAAAGCAAGCCGAACTGAAGGTTACCTAGTCTGCAGAGGTGCCTTTGGTGATTCCTGCTCGAAATATTGATTAATCCAATTACCAGGATTATAAGACTCTTATCATATCTATTCAAGTATGAGATTCTAATCCTATTTACTATGCATCATCGTGAAAATGATTGCATTGGCTCAAAGCAAGTTGCATGGGTAATCACGTGGCATAGTGCAGTAGCGATCTATTGCTGCACTTTTTTCAACTAAAATCGCAATGACGAATAACGATATCTAGATATCTGTATTGATACTATAGGTAAAACGCGCTTAGTTCGTCATTGATTAAACGTTTGAATGTATGCATTCTTGGATCCTCAGCACTTTAGCGCCATGCTAGCGTCGATGACGTACTTCAATATGCGACCTCTCTTTAACAGCAGAGCTGCAAAATAATACGGATTTTGAAGAGGCACAACTCACACGATGCCTCCAAAAAAGCTGAACAGGGATGGGGATCAGAAGGCTGAGGAGGATAAGAAAACCAACAAACCTACTGTTTCCGATGAAGAAGTCCGCCAGGAATCAGGGAAAGCCGCCAACGCTGCCCTTGCAGCTCAGAAGAAGGCCAAAGAATTGAAGGATGCGGCTGCAGCAGCCGGCGATCCTGAAGAGCGAGAGAAATTAACGGCAGAAGCTACAAATGCCGAGATTGAGGCCGAGTCATTTGGAAAGACAGCAAAGTACCTACGCTCAGGCGCATTTCAGGGCATGGCTATGGGTACAGGTCTTGGTGTTGCACCAGGAGCAACTTTAGGGGCAATCAGTGGGACCTTAGTTGGAGGTATTTCATCGACGCTGCTGGGTGGACTGGGGGCTGGTATAGGTGGCGTTACAGGGGCGATTCATGGACCTTTCGTGAATATGGGTAAAGTAGCAGGGAAAGGTATGAAAAAACTTACGAGCTTTCTACCAGAGTGGGCAGCAAGCGAGGAGCAAAAGAGGACATTGGAAAAGATGGTCGGCCAGGCCAAAGACGAAGAGACGCCTGGTACCGAGGAGCTCGAGAAGTTTAAAAGCGAGGGCGGTGGAGGCCAGCTGGATGAAGGGTGGCTGCAGAATGCAAAGGGCATGCTTCCAAAACAAGAGGATGTCTCGGATGCAGCCAAAGCGGGTGCACAGGCAACCGGTAGTGAATCGGTGCTGGAGTCTAAGGACGGCACATCAGACCAGCAGCCGCACCAAGGCTTGGCCCATGCGGACGGTCCTGGAGTTCGTAAAAAGCCACGCAAACTGAATTCTAGGCCGACCGGTGGCAGCGATCGAGTGCCAGATGCGGACGGCAATGACAATACGAAGAACAAGCCAACTCAAGGCAAGCAGGGGTCAGACACACATAACGAAGGAGAGATGGACGAGCGCACGAAGAGGCTAAATCAGCGCGAGGCTGACCTGGACCGTAGAGAAGCTGAGTTGAAACAGAGGGAAAAGACGTTGGAGAAGCGTGAGAAGGAACTTGAGTCTAGATCAACTGGCCACGGCCCGCAGCGCTCAACCACACCGGAACCGAAAGGACATCCCCGCAAACTCGGAACCAAATCTTGAGATCATCATGCTTTGCTTCGTAAGTGTCTCAAGGAGTTGTCTCGACTACGCGCGAACACGTCCCGTTGTGAGATTGAAATGGCCACTCCACAAGACCTAAGCAGAAGCCTTGGTGGAAGCCTTGGGCAAATACAATAATCAAACTCATTCAAGATGCCCCAGTAATTTCGCCTACACTCGACCGTGCCTTGGCCTCTACTCAGCGTCAGATCCACGCCATTCCCCAAGTACACGCACCCGCTCGCCACGCAACGACACGGCACCCTCCGCCCAATACACTATCAAAACCCCGTGATCCCAAGCAGTACAGGAGGTGGGGATTTCTCATTGCGCGTTCCATCTCTATTGGGGCGTGGAGCACCGCTTAGTCTGAGCCACTGCGCTTCCCATCCACCACTTACACTAATGCAGGGTAAAACACCGCCCACGTCCGGCACATGTCCGCTCTACCGAATATTTTCAGTAACGGCAGCGGCTTTGGGGCGCAAACCAACAAGTCAGGGACACAGAATCAATAGGACATGGCGCATCGCCAGAGTGACATCTGTCCGAAGCCTACTGCGCGAATGCGTCGCTGTCTAATCTTAGTCAGGAAGCTGCGCAGTAGCACGGCTGCTAGTGTGCAGATGGTAGCTCGGCCCGCGAGTCAGCAGGGTTTGCTCGCTTCGATTGGGTTGGGCCGACGCTGCGAAGCGATGGAATCCAGTCCGTTCAGTACTCTCGTGTGAGGCGTTCTTGCATTGTAGGAATATAAAGCATCTGACGATCAAATCTTCCATCGAATAAGAAACCACCGTTTCTGTTCAATTCACCATTGATTGGGCTTGTGGTTTAGTGGTATAATACTCCCTTAGCATGGGAGTGGTCCGGGGTAAATGCTTCCCAATCATCTCATACGATCTTCGCTTATTAACATCTACATTAGGTTCGATTCCCCGCGAGTCCATCTTTCCTTTTTTTTGCCAACGTACTTTTTTGCCAGTGCACCACTGTCTTGGTGGTTTTCGTTGTGGTTAGGGTAGTCGGGGCTGGGCGGAGATTTTTTCGGAGGATGAGGGCGGCACGTGCGTATGACACTCTTATTGGCGGGAATGCCGGGTAAGTCTCCTGCGCTTGCTAGTTTGTATACGCGCTCGCGTCGAGAGGTAGGCACTTTTCGGTCACATGACCATGTATTCGAAGATTTACAGAAGGACTTGAAACACTATTAATATTAAATGCATCTTATACTAAACTCGACTGGGTCCCCTCTCACGCACGACACATGCGCCCATCAGTCTGAACAGACCACGCCTCACTGCCCACGCCCACGGTGGCATAAAACAAGTTCTGGGGATCCCACTTCTTCTTGATGCCCAGCAACTTCTGGTAATTGGCTCCCCAGAACGTGTCCTGGAAGTTGGGCTGACGGAAATCCGCCTCGTTTACATACGAGCCACTGCCCGGGGTCGCCTTCTCAACCAGTGGCATGATTTCGTTGGTTATCTTGTTCTGGACCTCAAAGGCTTCAGACCATGGCGCGGTGAAGTTCCATGGAAGGGTAAGTGTAGCATGGACGATGGCTTTGCGCCACGCGGGGTGAACAGAGGTGGTCTTGTCGGAACCAAAAGGTGCGACGTTGGTGCCCACACCGATCCATGTTACGCCCTTCTCGATGACGGCTTGCCATGTGGGAGCGATGCTGGCGACGACAGCGCGGGGGATGAGACGCGCGCCGTATTGAGCGATGCCGACTTGGATGTTGCCAAGGGGAAGGGGTCCAAAGTACTTATCGTAGTGCTCATAGTAGGTGTTGAAGGCCGAGTAGGAGACAGTGTGGGTGACATTGAGAGAGGTAAGTTTTGCGACGAAGGGGGCCATAATGGTCTTGACCTGATCTTCGGTCTTGTTGTAAGCGCTGAGTGGCGAAATGGAGAAGAAGCCCGTGGTGAAATAATGGACTACCATGGCGCCAGCGTCGACCATGCTGGGGAGCTCCTCGTGGAAGGCTTGGATGCCGCTGTAGAAGGTGTCTTTGCTCATGTCTTTGGCGAAGAACGAGAGCGAGGCACCACCGAAGACGGCTTCCTTGTAGGCCTTCACGGTCATAGAGACGACGATGCCGTAGGTGCTGCCACCGCCGCCCTTGAGTGCCCAGTACAGGTCTGGGTTCTCACGTGGGCTGGCGTTGACAAGCTTAGCGCCAGCGGTCACGACTTGGAATTCGAGAGCATTATCGGCGGCAAGGCCAAAGCTGGTGCTCACTGCTGAGTGCCCTCCACCTTGGGTGTAGCCACCTGCGACACCGACAGTGGCACATTCACCTCCAACAGTGACTAGTCCAAGGTCCCGGGCAGCAGCCATCAATTCGAATCCCTGGACACCAGCACCAATCTTAAAAGCTGGGCCAGTGTATTCGACACTCTGGTAGGTGGGGACATGAACGATGCTCTTGAGGTAATGAGTCCACACTGCCAAAGCCCCTGCGCCGGTAGAGCGGCCGAGGTAGTCATGGCCAGTGTTACGGATAACTAGACGAATGTTCCTCTGCGTGGCATAGTCTACTGCGCGCTGGATGTCCAGAGGACCCGAGGCATTCACAGCATACCGAACATAGTTACCCAACTCACACGGGCGGTCACGGGGCTGAAACGGATCGCAGCTCTGGTTTGCGAAGAACGGCGCCATGACTGAAGAGGAAGACTCATAACTGGACTGGAGTAAGTGCGAGTATTCTTGAAACATGGTGTGAGATTGCATACTGGATCATCTCCGTCTGCCATTGGCTCTTCAGACTCTCGCACTTTGCGCTGTCGAAAGCTGATCCGTGACATGGTGCTCCAAGGGGCACAGTTGCAACGAGTCGTCCGCCCACGGTTCTGTTGAAAGCAGTCCAGTCGGGCTGCGATGGCCAGTTACTGTCACCAGGGAACGTCTTGCAACTGGCGACAACACTGTAGGCAGATGCAAGGCCATCGATCGCGAGGGCGAAGCTTAGGAACCGCATCTTGAAAGGCTAGTATTGAACAGAGGGTGCCGTGGGGGTGCCGATCAACACGAGTGCTGCACAGCAGCCAGCTCAATATAAGAAAAAGACCTACAAGCCCTGGAGGCCTTAGTCTCTGGCGAGACCCAGGACTAAGCATGGCCGTAGCACGGCATTGAGTTAGTACAGTGTCGGGCGGTGTGGGCCCTTTTACCCGCAGCCATCACCACGTGTGCCGGCCGTTGTTAAAGAAGCCAGCACCCTTCTCTGAACCCAACCCCGGGATTCTTCCAAGTAAAGAGCCTCATTCCATGAGGATTCGGAATCCTATGAGCAAAGCTCCCCGGCATATCCAACATCCGCACCAAACCCGTGGTTCTCCTGGCGTGACAGCAATCCCGCAGGGTTAATGCAACCACCCATGCCAAATAATTGCGCCGAAAAGACATTCAGGGACTTGTGCATACCTTAACCGCATCAAGCTATTGGCTTAGCCGCCACCCCCGGCCCGTGTACTAACGGACGGGTCGGCGCCTTTTTATTTTCTCTAGGCGAATATGTAGGACACATCGAGGAGAACGTGCTCGTTGTTCGTTCCAGGCCGCATCAGCCCTAGGAGCGACTTCCCATTTTGTAAGTGCGCCGCTTGGTTAACTCAGGTCTTATAAGTAGTGTGTGGCTTTAGCGGCACAAAAGGAAGGCGAGGTTATCCGGGTTTCGCACCACCGCCCGTCGTAGTTACCTTTGCGTGCACGGTACATGTTACTATCCTGAACAGGCCTTTGTTTGATAAGCGTCTCTTAGGCTCGCGAGGAGGAATCCTCTGCAAATGGGCATAGTAGCGATGACATGTCGATATCGAGGGGCCCAGATGCGGTTAAGGTTTTTGTGCTATGACGAACAGGGCTCGGTGAGACTCTCGTCGTAATATCCAGTCAAAGTGGTCTGCTTCTGCATGTGTAGTCTGTAGTAGCAGTTGGGCTCCCCGGCTTCCCATGTCAAAGCTTGCCGCTGGCGGACATTTCACGATCCGTAGGAGCATGAAGCCCTTGTCGTGCAGTGCTATAGGCCGTGGGGGTATTGTTCGAAACAACTAGTCAAAGCGTATTGCCGGCTCTTATGTTGAGGCGGATTCCCACCGAGAGGTGTGCAGAGTATCGACGTACAGAACGTGTATTTTTTCACGATGGGCTGGGCCTATAATACTCCTGAGAGCGCGGTTAATAGTGGTTCGCACATTACCATTGTGGCTATTGTATTCACAGTGGCATCGCTGTTGGTCTTGTCACTTCGGTTCTACGTCCGAGGGTGGATGATCAAGACGATCGGAGCGGGTACGTATGACAGACTTGAGCTTGCTGGTCATGGCTAACGGTAAAGATCGACAGATGACTATGTTTTGGCCTTTAGCTGGGTACGCAATATCCATCGGGTGTCTACCATGGGACTGGGTCTGATAGGTAACAGGTAGCGTGTTGCGGTTTCGCTGTTGTCACCATCCTGCGTAAGTCAACCTTACAGATTGCACAGTGCCATGACTGACAGCGTTGACCAGAGACAAAATGGGGACTTGGACTGAAAAATGTCAGCGACATGCCGAATGAAAATATCTTCAATTTCGGACTGGTAAGTAAACGCCTCACTGTACTTTGTGGGTTCTTCGCTAACCAACACAGCTGCAATACATCGGCGCGCCATTGTAAGTATACAAATGCTACCTACCATCAGGCCAATAACTAACGACACCATCAGCTACATAACAAGCATAATGTCCTTCAAAATCAGTCTAATGTTAACCTACCTCCGCTTCATGCCCAAGGGCGCCGCACGCACTGCAACAATCGTAGTCATAGTGCTCTGCATTCTCTTCCACCTTGCCTTCCTCATCATCCAACTCAACCTATGCCACCCAGTACGTCCCTCTCCTCCATCCTCCTCTAAACTCCCTACTTACCTCCCCCTTCTAGATCGCCATGCAATGGGACCGCACCATAACCGGCACCTGTCTCCCCGCCGTCCCCATCTACACTACCACTTCCTCCCTAACCATAACCTTTGACGTCACAGTGTAAGTCCTCTCCTTTCCTCCCCATCCTTCAATTGAAAAAAAAAAACTCCGCCCACTAACACCCTAACAGCATGTTCCTCCCCTTCCCCGTCCTCCTCGCCTCCCGCATCCAAAACCGCAAAAAAATCGTCCTCCTCGGCCTCCTCGCCCTCGGCACCTTCATCACCATCATCCAAGTAATCCGCATCCAAACCATCCGCTCTCTGTCAAACTACCTCGACTCCTCGGGCGTCATAATGTGGTCGAGCATCGAAAACAACCTCGGCGTCATCGTGGCATCGATCCCGACGCTCGCGCCGCTGTTTACGTTTTTCGTGGATAAGACGGTGAAGAGCTCGGAGAGGAGCTCGCGCGGGAAGGCGCTGTATGCGTTGAGGTCGACCAAAGGGTCTGCGAGGCAGGGGTCTGTGCCGTTGGGGAGTGGGGTGCACGGGGGGGAGGAGGGGGAGGGGGATAG